TGTCCAGGGTCCGCAGAAAGTATATATATATATATATATATATATATATATATATATATATATATATATATAAAGAACCCAGGACCCAAAAACATCATTTGTAACGTGAGACGGTGGAAGCAGATGACTGTTGGGTTGACAGTCATAATTGTCGCTTGGCCTGCGTTCAGCAATTATCAATGCCCATATCATATGTGAAGGTTAACGATGGTGATAGAGCTCCCTGAGTTGGAGTCGCTAGCTCACAGAAATATGTTGTTTATGCTTTTTGGCCCAAACCTTAAACTGGCAGACTGATGTCGAAGAGGACAGCATTCACTTAACGTAATAAGACAAATTATCATCTTACTCGACTAACTTCGACTCATGAAAATTTAAGTTGCGAGTGTTACGCAAGAGGCTATCTAAGCAAAACTGTGCATGTTTTCTACGGCCTAAATTGAATTACCTTCATCACAAACGCGAGAAAACATCGGGGAAAGTTAGATCATAAAACAGTGTAAATGAAAACACCGAATTTTACGACAGCTAATCTCAGCACGCCATGTCATGCAGGTGCAAACGAAGCGGTTAATTCCTCTTTAAAAATCAATCATGTGAGGCGGCCGCGCTCGTGACGGCCGCCCAGTCACGCACAGCCACAGCCCGCTCCCCGGACTCGACCGTATTGAAATACCAGCACCGTGTAAAGGCGCTAACCGTCCGACGGCGGTCCCGCGCCCGCCGTTAGCAGGCCGGCGGGCGGCGGGGAGGTCGGCGGGGCGGTGGGGAGGCAGACGGGGTGGTGGGGAGGCAGACGGGGTGGCGGGGAAGCAGACGGGATCGCGGGGCAGAAGGCGAGAGGTGAGGAGGCCGGCAGGACGGTGTGGAGGCCGACGGGCGGCAGGGCGGCCGACGGTGAGGCGGCAGGCGGCAGTGAGGCGGCGGCCGCCGACGGTGAGGCGGCAGGCGGCGGCGTCGGCCTCCGGTGTGGTCCGGGAGGTGCAGTCACGAGCGGTCCATTACAGGGCCGGCAGCCGTCGCGGGTGTCCGGCGGCGCGCACGAGCGGAACGGCCCGAGAGACGGCGACGTGGGCGGCTGCCGGACACGTGACGGGGCGCAGGCCTCGCCCGCCGCGCCGGGATGTGACGCCAGCGTGACGTGACGTGCGACGAGCAGACCTGGCAAAACCCTCAGGCTTTGGTTCTTAAGCCAAACGTCCGGAATACTTTCCAACAAACGGGTTTGTGTGATGCTGCTTCGTTTGTAGGGAATCTGTTTTACCTTGAAACTGGCGACGACTAAGTCGAACGTAAGCAACAAAGCTGGTATGCACGCGCGCCGCATTACATCAAAGATTTAACATGAAATCCCTTGAAAATTCCAGGCAGGAAGAGATTGCCTTGATCTTCAGCAGCCTCCAATTTTTAGTTAATGCGCAGTCACGATTTTTTAACTGCTCACATCGGTTCCTGCCATTACGCCCCATGTTTGTTTTCATGCAATGAAGCTAATCCAAAGTACATCCTCATGGCCTAGCTTCCGCCCAAAAAATCATTTAGTTCACTTATTATATTGTTGTATTACTTAGTTCACAAATTCACTCCAGCCAATCGTCTAGAACGGGTTCCGCAACCGTCCGCTTTCGTTTCTCTCTTCTTGACCAAGCCCGTTCGGCCTCAGCGATGACGGGAGTCCCGTGCAGACGGTCTCTCCTCCCGAGCTTGTCGACTTTTTACAGGCGGGTCCCTGAACGAGGTCACGCGAGTCATATATGAAGAGTCTCTCAAGGTAAACCGAGCTGACAGTCGCCATGCGGAGGCAACCAAAGAACTGATTGAACCATCAGACGGCAGTGGTGAACAGGTGGTGAACAGGTCTGGTACAAGGTTTTGTTCGAACGGGTTCGGCTATGATGCTGGAGAGAGAGGGTTTATTGCTCTACGAACATTGACTTAGGCAGATGCATACACAGCAGCCGAACGCCAGCTGTGTATCTAGAAACATTGATTTCGCCCAGCGCAGCAATCTTGGAACGGGAGTTGCAGCGTCTTACATAACGGTGATGTTTTATGTCCGCAGCACTTTCCTTAGAAACCTTTCACTTTTGGCTAACACAGCATTCAAAAGCCTCGGTCAAGCATGAACGTCTTCACCGGAATATAGTCGTTTGCCCGTATAACTCAAACTGGTAAAACCAGCTTGACATGCTTGCTCAAAAGGGAAACTCAACACTTTGCATCTGCCGGCGGTACCTCGGCGATACAAATCCATTCAAATAACATTATTGTGGTAAGTGTTGTGACAGGTGACATGAGGCGGCTTTTCCAGAAACTCATTTTAAAGCTTTCTTAGCATTTACCCATACAACCCAGCTACCCCGGGAAATCGCGTCTTCCCCGCCCGGTGGCGCGTGACGTCACGCCGGCGGTCGCCGTGACGTGACGGCAGTCGTGACGAGCGGCGGGATGCGGAGCCGGACCTGTGACTCAGATCCGGGCATGGATCGTGTTAATACGTGCGGAGCGCTAGTCTTCCGCCGTCTGGAGCGAATGGACCCGGAGCAGGCCGGGGCTCGCAGGCGGCGCGTCGTTGTGAACCGCGGCGTGTGGAGGACTCGACGTTGCATGGGCTTGAGACGGAGACAGCCGGCTGCCGACTGAGTGTTAGGTGCTCTTAGTGCAGATGACCATATGATGATGATGATGATAATGTTGATGACCAGATGAAGAGAATGTGGCAATGGGGGTGGTCAGTCATCAGCTCGGAAGTAGAAGCAGTCTGGCTTCCATACCGACACGATCATCGCGAGGTTCCGCCGTTTCCAACGCTGCTCGCCGCCTTCCCACCTGACCACGCTATCAAGCCGTTGCGAGGAGTCGTTTCTAGGGCCCGATCGTGCCAGCCGTCAATAACGTCGCCGATGACACGGTCCCCGACTTGCGGAGGGTTTCACAATGATGTCCGGTTTTCACTCACGGCGGCGGCACGGTCCCACCGCCGTCAGATGGCCGCTAAACACGGCCGATAGCTCACAGACGCACTCTCCCATGCGGCCAACGGCCCGTAATAGCCTGCTGGGACGACGGCACGCGACGAGACAGTCACTCAAATGGCGCCCGGCTGATGCAGCATGAGAACGTGCCGGAGGCCCGCCGCGACGGCAGATGGCGGCAGCAGCTTGGGGTGGTGCAGCTCCTCAGAGCGGCTGTGTCGAGCTACTGGAAAATGCTGGCAAAGAAGGCGAATGCGCTTTGTCGGCTTCGAATGGGAACCAGATCGGTGAGCGGATCTAAGACACTGGCCCTTACCCGTCGGAGATAGAGCACCAGCACCCTCTCGGCTAACACCCAGCCGACGTCAGCACCCTGCCGGCGTCAGCGGACGAGGCCGGCGACACCGCCGCCCTTGTCCGTCGCCCGCCGGCGCCCCCGTTTCCATCCGGACCAACGTATTAATTGGATCCTCCACCGGGATAGCGTCTGGGCCCTGACGGATGGGCTGCGATCGTTCAGGTCGGGTCGCGACCCGCGGCCGGGACGCCCCGCGCCGAGACCCTTTGTCCCGTCCGACGCTCGACAACGGTGACGAACGGCGGCGGCGGCGGCGGCGCGATCGCGCCGGATACCCGCGATCCGGTGCCCCCGACCAGACCGGAGCCCATCCTGAGTCAGAGCACGTGACACGACACGGCCGGCCCCCCGCACCGCGGGTCAGAGGCTGCCGACCTGAGGCGTCCCAGTAGCGGAGCTAAGGTGACAAAGGGCCTTTTGTGCACGCGCGGTGGGGTGCGTTCCGCTCACCTCTGATAACCTCGGGGCACTCAAAAGCCTTGATACAATGCCAAATTATTTTTCCTTCGCCACCGCAGCCGTTGCGCTTGCCTTACTGTCCGACAAACGGTAGCAAACCAAGGGCCCCAGGATCGGAGGAGCCGCGCCGGACTGACAGGAGGGTATTTCTTCCTGATGATGCGTGCTTTATTATTTTGACAGGCAGCTGTCTGACCGACAGCCAAACCTGTCAAGTGCCGAGTGGAATCAGGGCTTTTAACATTTCAGGTTCTTATATGTAAATAAATCATAATGCGGATCAGGCGGCCAGAGCTTCCACCTACATATTTTCTTTTCTCCTGCGATTGCCTTTTGCCGTTTCCCTTTCTCCACCAACCTCCCCTCTCCTCTCCTGGGCTGGCCGGTGCGCAAAATAGCGCTGTGACGCCGTCGCGTCTGCGAAGCTCCAAAGCGCCTGTAAGCGCACACCCCTGGACTAGCTAAGCAAGACCGCCACATGGATCAAATGTCGGACATCCAATTAACCTGCGGGGCCAGGAGGCCACCGAAGTCCTCGGCTGGAATCTGGCGCCAGCTGGAACAAATCAGACGCTTCTATTACAGCCCCAAGCGAGAACAGTACCGGCCTGGCGCACCGTAGTTGTGTCCCGGTAGCATTTGTGTGTGGTGGGAAAGATCCTCGCGCGTCCGTGGTCGAGGCGTCGCTGTTCACTCACCAATCAGAAATGCGCAGCAACAGGACAATCGACGAGGACTTGAAACTGGTCCAATGATGGCATATTATAGACAGGAAAGGCAAGACAGCATTCTGGGTATAAAATAGGGATGCCATTGGCCCCTTCGGGAAGGCAGATGATGGCTGTGAGTCATGACCTTGCGCTAAGTCGACCTTCGGGTGAATCGCTCGGCATTCCGCACGGTCTACCAGGGAATAAACGGCAGCAGGCGGCACCCATAAACAGCACTGTGCACGAGCTGCAGCATTCACCTGCATATATGCCCCCATCTAAAGTTTTACCTGCCAACATGTTACATAATCACCCAGCTTGCGGTTCCTCCCCTTACAAATTAGCCTTGCGCTATTAGAATAAGTGAATCAACGAACCCCATTTTGTGCAAATACACGCTGCATAGCTTACGGCGGGGCGTAATGGCTCCTCGAACAAGTGTACCGCCCCGGTGGCCTGGGAGGCCACGCCCAGATGGGCGTTCCCCGGAGCACGTACCCATCCGCCCTGGCTGGCGATCCACTGGCCGGTGTCCCTCTCGGCTACCATGCCCATGGACTCGATGAGGCCCATCAGGTACTCCGGATGACCTGCAACAGGACAGCGGGCGCGCGTGAGTCACGTGGGCTGCCAGTCGGCACGTGACGCGTGAAGTCGCTACGGCTGCTGAAGAACCGACGCGCACTTTCGGGGAGCCGCTGTGATAAGTCGCATACGATACGCAAGCTCGATGTGACTTACAGTGAATGACCACATTTCGAACATTATTGTCGTGTGTTTGAAATGTGGGATCAAGCAGCGTTGACCGCGCCCGTGTCTGTCACGGAGCCTCATGACGTCAGTGGCGGATGACTCCGCTCTTCCATATTCTGATCGCAAAGACTCAGACGTTTGCCCGCTCAAAAAGGACATTAGTTCGCCCGCTCAAAAACGACATTGCCATGCCACAGTCCAGCCACACACATGGCGGAGGACACGGGTGGTCTTCCGGACGCCAGCACGGCGGGTCCCGGCGCTCTCGGCCCGGCGCTCTCGGTCCGGCGCTCCCAGCCCGGCGCTCCCAGCCCGGCGCTCCTAGCCCCGCGTTCCCAGCTCGGCGCTTCCAACCCGGCGCTCCCAGCTCATCGCTCTCAGCTCCCAGCCCGGGCGCTCCCGGCTCAGCGCTTCTGGCTCGTCGCTCCCGACACGGCGCTCCCAGCTCCCAGCATGGCGCTCCCGGCCCGTCACTCCCGGCCCGTCACTCCCGGCCCGTCGCTCCCAGCCCGTCACTCCCGGCCCGTCACTCCCGGCCCGTCACTCCCGGCCCGGCGCTCCCGGCCCGTCGCTCCCAGCACGGCGCTCCCAGCACGGCGCTCCCGGCCAGGCGCTCCCGGCCCGTCGCTCCCAGCCCATCGCTCCCGGCCCGTCACTCCCGGCCCGTCACCCCCGGCCCGTCACTCTCGGCCCGGTGCTTCCAGCCCGGCGCTCCCAGTCCGGCGCTCCCAGCCCAGTGCTCCCAGCCTGGCCGCGTCGACGAGTGAAATCTTATAAATGACCGGAGCGGGGGCCGCGGGACACACTCGCCTGCCGACCTCCCTGGGTCGCGGGTCGTCGCCAGACCGTGTTAATTGAAGGGGCGCGCTATTGAGTGTGACGCCGCGCTCATTTAGAGATGACTAATTGCCGTGGCCTGGCGAGGGCGTGGGCGGCTGAACCGGGCCTCAGCTGGGCGGCGTCCGCGGCGGCAGCTGGGGTGCGTCAGGCGCTACCCCTGCTCTGTTGACAGGGGGCAGGGCTCGCGGGCGGGGCTGGCACTGTCCTCAGCAACGACGCAGTGATCAAGTGCGGAAAAAGGAGCGTGTGGCGCCCACTCGCCACCAAACTCTGGTCAGAAGCCGGAGCGTGAGGGCACGTCCAACCAGACTACTGAACCGGTAATTGGGGGATTCATAGGAGCGGATGTGGCATAACAATGAAGGAGCGCAGCGCATCAATCGATGGCAGAGCTCGCGATAAAGTTCACTGTTAGATACAGTTGGTAGGACGCCAGCTTAATGCACACCGTGGTCACGTCATAAGTCTGGACTCTAGATAAGTGCACGCGTTCCGGACAAAAACCGTACCGAATTTCCCCCGTCGAACCCGAATGGATGCCAGATAATCTAGCCTGCTTCAACTGACCCGGCCACACGACCGTATGATATGACATCACGTAACAGTGCACGTCCCATCACATGTATCCGTTCACGTGTTCGTTGCGCGCCCGGGTGTTCGTTGTATGCAGCGGTTAGTGTGAACGGTTCCATTCACGCTAATCGTTCCCGTTCACACTGACCAAACCGTGCCGTTCTCTTCTCTCGGATCGCGTGAGTACTGACCTGCACTTCGGAGGCATTTTCGATGCGACTGAAGTACTCAGCGAAGGCGTATTCGTTATCAGCAAGTGCGTGAGAAGTTCCGTCTTGGAACGGCGCCCAACGAGGCGCGCTTTTAGTCTACATGACGCACTGCCAGCCAAACACGTGAGCCAATTCAATCAAACAACGTAAAGCGTTCTAGGAACCCGTGAAGGACACTCCCTGATCCCCTTCTCCTAACGCGTGCTCCTCGTCGAGTACTGCAGCGGCGAGCCGGGGCCGGCCGGCTCGGCTGTCAGGCCCCACACTAGAACAAATCGAATTACACACCTGTCTGGCACGGATCGGCCGTCTGGAACCATACTAGGGCTCCGGTGGCCTGAGCTGTGCACGGGAGCCATAAGCCTAGCCCTGCAGAGTCGGGGCTGAGGCTGATCAAGCCATTCACAGGCAGCACAGGTAGCCGCCACGCTCATTCAAAGCTGATATCACGCTCCTTTCTCCGCGCGAGCTTCTACGGCACGGAGGTGTAGGGATCTGACCACTCAGACAGTTGACATCAGTGAAAACTTGGAGGAATGAGTCTGGTCCGAGCCGCGGTTGCTGCAAGTGTTGTAATGTGATGATTGGAGTAGCAGCCCTGTGCTTGACAACTAAGACATCCAAAATTCAAGAGTGAACGATAAAATGCCAGAAAACACGTCCGCGCCGTTTTTCAGTGCAATCACGTGGTCTAAGACAAAGACCAGCCACATGTTTACTCACACACTGGGGTTATCTGACTAAGTTTGAGCCGCATGTCCTCCAGGCCCCAGTGCATATGTGCTATTCAGTTTTAGAGTCCATGCGTCCCCATCGACATGCGCGGCTGATTGTCAGCCCTAGGCACAATGTACACTCAAGCGTGCATCACAGTGAATTGAGTCGTATCTTGTCTGTGTGAGCGGCTACCCGCACGAAATCACTGCAAAACGTGCAAGCCAAACTAGTTTTCTCGATTGCTGAATATAGAGTCAATATCAAAAGGATGTGGCAAGTCACAAAGGGTACACGATACGTTGCAGAGGTTCCATGCTAGCAATGGAGCTGGGGCAGTCGACTTTGTCTTGGATGTCTAACAGTCACCAGATGTTGCGAAGAGCTATGTGGCATATTAAAAGCTACTGCTCAACCATTAAGTAAGAGCGGCAAGTGCAGCACTTCCTTGGTTTTTCAGTGACATTCAACCAACCATAGCAGCCAAGCCATGATTGACAAAGATCCGCGTATATCCGCTAGAAGCATGAACAATTAGACTTGAAACACGGCGATAGATGATGGAACCATTTCCAACTAATAGAGCAGTGTGAATCACCAAACAGCTTATCATCCACGCACAGAAATGACGTAGCACGACCACCAGCTCCAATGAGTTGGTAATGCACAAACCTGCGCAGACCGTCAGTGACGGCCAGTGACGTCAGTGACATACTCGTGACAGCCCTGGGGACTCGACAGCCTTGAGGTTCACTTGCAGCATGCGAAACCAGGCCAAAACTCATGATGCGGAGGAAGGGTCTGCTGCAGCGGCCGGGGTGCTCGGGAGTGTTCTGCAAATGCTTCGGGAGTGTGCGCCAACTGACATCTGGCGTTCCGGCCCATCGCTCGCTCCAGATTTACGACCTCCATAAATCTCCAGATGCGCGGATAAGGCACGTAGGATAATCCCCGTCGAGGCGAAGCCCTAAGCGGCTGCGTGCCGTGCAGCACTCCCCGCCTGCGAACGGCGGCCGGCGGGCGCGATGGTCATCTCTGCCCAGCACCGGTAGCTGCTGGGCGCGATGGTCATCTCTGCCCAGCACCGGTAGCTGCCCGACATGTCGAACATTCCGCCCACCGGCGATCTCTCGCCCGCCGTCGATTGGCCGCCTTCAGCCGGGGTTTATAGCCGCCGTGATTGGGCGCCGGCCTTGCGCACCTTCACTGGGCGCCGGCGGGAGTGTAGCAGCAGGCCCGGCGGCCGTACGATGTGCCATGCAAAGCTGGAGGCACTTCGGGTCGTTAACTTTCACAGGAATGCGGATTTGCCTCATGTTGGAAGGCAGACATCGGCACAGTGCCGCATGATGAGAACTAACCGCATGTTGTGGGGGTCAGTTCACACCGCGTGACGCATTCACCTCGCAGCCCGTCGCCGGCAGGTTGCGAACTGTGAGTCGAGCCCGTTCAGGTCGCTGAGATTGACACCGGACGGGTCCTTTTGAGTCTCGTGGGGACTTCGCTGTTACAATCTTGCGTTTTCCTCTTCTCGTGACCCGCACTTGTGCCGAGGACATCCACTGAGCTCGTCTCTCGTCAGCCAGTACCGCGGCATCCGACCAAAACCACCGCTTTTCATTCCACGACACGCCCGAATCGTCCCGCGAATGGTCGCGCCCACACGCCCCGGTCTCCGTGTCCGCCGATGGCTCACTGTTCCCCGCGCGATGTGCCGCGGCCAGCGCAAGCGCGGCTTCGACCGAGACCGTCGTCGCAGCTGACCGACGTTGCCCCGGGCACACCGCCCTTCTAGAATGGCTCCTCTTACTCGAGACGCCGCCGCCTGTTCTGATAACCCTCGTCAGCCAAACCCGTCAGGGCAGGAAGCACTCCAGTCAGAAGGACTCTGGAGTCAGGAGTGCTCTAGAGTCAGCAATACTCTAGATCCAGGGTGTATTCTAGAGTCAGCAATGCTCTAGATCCAGGGGTACTCTTAGAGTCAGGAGTATTATAGATCCGGGGAGTACTCTAGAGTCAGGAGTACTATAGATCCGGGGAGTACTCTAGAGTCAGGAGTACTCTCGATCCAGCAGGTACTCTAGAGTTAGGAGCACTATAGATCCGTGAAATGCTCTAGAGCCAGGGGTACTCTAGAGTCAGGAGTACTAAAGATGAGGAACTCTGCAGTCAGAAGAACTCTTAAAGTGAGGAGTACTCTGGAGTCAAGAATGTCAGTGCATGACCGCGCGTATAGGAAGCAGTGCACAGCCGTTGCGCCTCCGTAACTCAAGGCACTATTTTCATCACATGTATCCCCGGATGTACAGCGTTAGACTAGGAGCATGCCAGTACTTTTATAGACTTACTAATGCTGCCTTGTGACAGCAATCGCACATAGGAAAGATAACGTGTGCATATAAAAACGATGTAATGTGCTGGAAACTTAGCCATGCATGCATCAACGTAAGTACATAAGACAAGCAGAACACGAGCTAAATGACGGTTGTTTTGGTGCT